TCAGAAGACAGAGGAACAAACTCAGCACCACCAGGAGAAGAGAGAAAGACCAGACATGGACCTTTTTCATAAGACCACAGCCGAGCTTCTCAGTCAGGTCAGGGTCAAATCACGTCACCACCTTTCCAACCCCTCAGCCTTCCGAGCCTCTGGGGATTACGGGATTACACCGCTGCACCCAAGATAAGCAACTTTAAAAGAATGAAAGGTTTGTTTTGGCCCACAGTTTCAGAGGTCTCAATCCATGGTCAGTTGGAGGCTTGCTTTTGGGTCTAAAGGAAAAAAGAAGAGAATAGAAAACCACTCCAGGTGCCTCGAAGACAAGAGAGGGCTGGGGCTCAGTGGTCAAAGCACTTGCCTCACGCCTGTGAGGCCCTGGGTTCAATCCTCAGCACCACCTAAAAATAAATAGCTAATGATTAAAAAAAAGACGATAGAAAACGTAATGCATAACCCTCGATTGGATCCTGATTCAAAACTAAGCAGCCAGGAAAACTCAGGACAATTGGAGACATTTATATATTGGGCCAGATATCAGGTGATGTTATTGAATTATGGTGGACGGTCTTGGGTGTGGTAATGATAGTCTATGTAAGGAAATGTTCATTTTCTTTTGTGTGTGTGTGTATATATGTGGGGATTGAATGGAGGGCACTCTACCACTGAGCAACATGAAAACTGAACATGAAACACAGTTGCTCCTCAGTCCTTTTTAATGTTTATTTAAATTGCTGAGGCTGGCCTCCAAACTTTCCATCCTCCTGCCTCAGCCTCCCATGTTGCTGGGATTACAGATGTATGCACTGCTGTGCCCAGTAGAAGGTCTCTGTAGAGGCAGATGTGGATCATAGACCCAATGAGTAGACTCATCAAGCCCAGGTGGAGGATCTGTGGGTATTCACTTTATTTCCTTTTTCACCTTACTCTAAGTTTTGAATTTTTCATATAATCAAAAGTAATAAAGGAATTTTTTTTTTTTTTTTTGTACTGGGGATTGAACTCAGAGGCACTCAACCACTGAGCCACATCCCCAGCCCCATTTTGTATTTTATTTAGAGACAGGATCTCACTGAGTTGTTCGGTGCCTTGCTTATTTGCTGAGGCTGGCTTTGAACTCACGATCCTCCTGCCTCAGCCTCCCAAGCCACTGGGATTACAGGCGCACACCACCGCACCCAGCATGAAGGAGACATTTTAAAATAAGAAAAGCAACTAGGTCTTCCCACAGAAGTTGGATGACTCGGTACAGAGAAACCACTGCTTGCTTCTTCAAATTGGGGTTTGGCTAGAACGATGGTATCTCGCATTTCTGAGAAATCAGTAACAAATGGGAAGAGCAGCTCAATTAGCCACCTAGGAAATTTGGAGCATCTGAGTTGTATGTAAATTGCAATAATGAAAATGAGAGCTTTCTCTGCATTTCTAAGAAATGCCCCATTTGGGGACACTTTTGCTTTTGTCTTACCTCGGGACTGTCTCAGAGGTGGCCCCAGCATGGTCTCAATGGAAGGGGGATCTGCAGGGGGCCTGGCAGACACGAGGGAGCACACAGAGTCCACAAGGTCTAGCCTGTCATGGGCCTTCAAGGTGAAAATACCACAGATGTCCAAGTGTGACGTGGGGACCATGTCACCCTGTGAGGTGACCCCGATCGGCAAGACAAACGTACCCCATGGATTCGGCAATCCCACTTAAGCAACTCCAGCCCTGCAATGAGACAGGAAGATACAACATGTGTTAAATAGGTATAAAAGCATTTAGGCCCGGGCCCCCGAACACAGTCAGCACTCCCTACAGTCTCCCTGCCGGTCCTCCTAAAGAGCATCTTGAGGGCTCACTAGAAATAACACCAGGTCTGACGGGCAGGAGGGTAAATGAACAAGTCCCGGGCAAAGCAGCGTGTCCTGTCCTCGGAAATGAGCCATCGTGTATATATTTTTAAAAGGTGCATGTTGGGGACAGCATGGGGGAAACCAGGGGACACACATCAAGAGTGACACACAGGTGTGTGTAAGCGCCTGTTTGGCAGATTGCTGCGAATAGCAGGTCTATGGTATCTAGGTGGGAGAGACCTTTACTGCTCACTATTTTCCCTTTAATATCGTTAAAAATTTTTTCCTTGACCGCGTGTGCGCGTGTGTGTGCATTTTAGCCTTTTGATGAGACAGCATTTCAAAACCTTCCCTCTGGGTTCCAAAACTCACCCATTTCCCTTGATCGTTGAACTTAAAATTAGAAGACCTCTCTTCCCCTGGGGAGGGGGGGACAGCTCAGAAAGGGCTGGTTTCAGAATGAGGTTTGGAAAGTGAAGAATGAGGTTCAGAAACCTCCTGCCCGGTTCTGGGGAAGTTGCACGTGAGCAAAAAGGCGGATCAGCAATGAGACAGCGCCATCCTTCCATCCCCAGCCACCTCCCGAATCAGGCTGCATCTTGTTTGGTCTTCGCTTCATGCAAAGCACATGCGGGCTGGATGCTCCAAAAGCAAAGCCAAGACCGTGTGTGTGTGTGTGTGTGTGTGTGTGTGTGTGTGTGTGTGTGGCTTTAGACAGCTGCACCCCAGTCTAGCCCAGTAAGAGTTCCGTTTCTGGAAGGCACAGTTCCCTCAACAGTCAGAGAGGAGCTTGGTAACAAAACCCCCAGGGAGTCAGCTGCCTTGTGAGCCCCAGACCCCAGGGGTTTGCGAACAAAAGGCAAGGAGGGAGGGGTGATGCAGGCATTCGGCAGTGACCCGGGCTTGCCCCGTTTTGGCAGGCAGAAAGTTCCTGGCAACAGGGGTACTCAGCAGTCTCTATTGGTGCCCATTTAAATTGTCCCCAGTCTCCCACTATCATCAGCAACGCTTTAACCACGGACAAAACTTCAGGGTCCTGGGGGTAGGCACATATTCTACATTTTAATTGACCGTGGCCTTCCCAAATGGTGCCGCCCACCCACATTCATTCTCTCTCTCTCTCTCTGGTACTGGGGATGGAACCCGGGGCACTTTTACCATGAAGTCACATCCCCAGCACTTTTTTGCTTTTTATTTCGAGACAGAGTCTTGCTAAGTTGCTTAGGTCCTTGCTAAGTTGCTGAGGCTGGCCCTGAACTAGTGACCCTCCTGCCTCAGCCTCCTAAGATGCTGGGATTCCAGGTGTGCCCCACGGCTCCCAACTTTTTTTTTTTCTTTTAGGGCAGTACTGCAGATGGAATCCAGAGCCTCATTCGAGCCAAGCAAGAGCCCTACCCCTGAGCTAAATCCCCATCAATTTGAGCATCCTCTGTTGTTAACTACAGCCGCCCTACATGCAATGGGACACCAGAACTCCTCCTCTTATCTAATGTGTTACCTGTTAACAGATCTCTCTCCATCCTCTCTCTTTTTTTAAAAATATTTATTCTTAAGTTTTAGGTGGACACAATATCTTTATTTTACATTTACGTGGTGCTGAGGATCAAACCCAGTGCCTCGTGCATGCTAGGCGAGTGCTCTACCTCTGAGCCACAACCCCATCCTCATCCTCTCTCTCTCTTGCCCTCCCAGTTCCTAGTAACCCCTATTCTGTTCTCATCTTCTTTGAGATCAACATTTTTAGATTCCACCTGTGAACAAGAATGGGTGGTTTTTGTTTCTCTGGGCCTGGCTTATTTTAGTTAAGATAATATCTTCCGGTTCCCTCCATCTTGATGCAAGTGACAGGATTTCCTTCTTTTTAAAGGCTGAATAATATTCCACGGTATATATATGCACTACATTTTCTTTATCATTTGTTGATGGACGTTTAGGTGGATTTCATATCTGGGATACTGTGTAAAGTGCTGCAGTAAACATGAGAGAGGGGTTGCTGTACTTCCTATCTCTCAGGAGGTTTCAGAAGACTTGCAATGACATAGAAATAGTTACAATACACGGTAATAAGGGCCACAGTATCAATCCTCAATCCCATCTGCAGAGAACTCAGTTGCTCTGAGAATGTAACTACTTGAACTCAGCCTCACATGGCTTGTGCCACACATAGTGCTGCTATTATACCCATTTTACAGAACAGAACACAGAGACACAGAGACATTATGTACATAAGTTGCCACCAAGGACTCCAGTTGGTATTTGGCAGAGTAGAGATTCAAACGCAGTCTGGCTGGCTCTCGTGCTTTGATAGGCATAGTGACATGTGTGGGCTCTCTCTCTCTCTCTCTCTCTCTCGTCCAGCGAGGAGGTCCACAGAACAGGGCAGAGAAAGAGTGTGGCTGCAGAGTCGCTAATCAAGATCTCCGGACACCAAGCAGGAAGCAGGTCTGATTTTATTGCAGTTACCATGTATATATACTCAGGCAGCAGCTAAGCAGGTTACAGGCAGCCACTAATGCAATTTCTGCTAATTGCCCTTGCAGCGACCAATTGAGGAGTGGGCTGTGGAGCAAGCAGGGACTGCAACCCACGGCCTCATGCCCAGGGCTGTGCCTATGGGGTAAGCGGATTGCTACTACACGCCTAGCAAGAGGGGAGTGGCCTGCCACTCAGACGACACCCTTAGCATATGCCATGCATGCAGTACTCCATGCACCGGTCCCCACAGTGACAAAGCTCAGAAGGTGCAGAAAATGAGCCTGTAACTTGGGTTGGGGTAGTTAGGGTGGCTTCCCAGAGGAGAGGACACCTCAACTGAGTCTTGGAGGAGCTGAACTTGCAATAGAGTAGGCCAAGACTGTCCAGGGGGAGGGAAGGGTGAGCCCTTCTGTGCAGCTGAGACGGGGCCTGGGGTGTATGAGTATAAGCCTGGGGCAGGAGCTTCGCCCTTGAGATGGGCCAGGGAAAACCTGGACGCGCCTAAGCCATGCAAGGGTGGATGATGTCGCCCAGCCGCTCTGCGCACCTTGGTGGACAGAGCAGAGCCATCAGGACTCAGAGCCCTTCACCTTGCCTGGTGAGCGCGCAGGCGCAGGTGACCGGGGCGGCTGATTTACATCCTCCAGGTTGAGGGGAAGACCCAGGAAGCGCAGCCCAGGCACTAATCAAATCTGGGGCTAATAATAAACATCCTGAGTAATGAGTGGCCTGGGCCAGAGGAGGCGAGGTGGCCGGAGCCGGCGGGCAGGCAGAGGAGCGCTGTGAGTAGCCAAGCCAGTGGGCAGGCCGGCAGGTGGACAGTGGGGGGGAGGCCCTCGCCCCGTGTTCTGCACGGGCTCCTGGGCCCACACGGAACCAGGACCTTGGGGGGGTCCCAAGATGTCTGCAGCCCCAAGGCTTCCCCAAGCCTTGCATGTGGAGAACCCCGAGTCTGGGGCACTTAGGGGTATGTGGGGGGGTCTTGCCTTCCAGGAGAGGAGAGCTAAGACTGGAGCTGGGGGGGGTTGGCCCCCATGGCAGGAGTTGTCCCCTTTGTGACCAGGTGTCCCCCCACCATGTTTTCTCTTCCACCCTCAGTGGGTCATTTTAAAATGAACCCCAGACATGGTGGGATCTTAGATGCCTCTGGATTAAACTCAAAACCCCTGACCCCTGCCCGAACTGCGGTCACCTTTGATATTATCAGTCAGTGCCCCAATGTACCTGATGGATATATCCACGTCTTTTCTTTTTGTTGTTGTTCAAATCAGAATTAAACACGGCCCACGTCAGACATTTAGTTATGCTTTTTTAAAAAAATATTTATATTTTTTTAGTTGGAGTTGGACCCAATACCTTTCTTTTATTTGCTGATTTTTATGGGGTGCTGAGGATCGAACCCAGGGCCTCGCACATGCTAGGAGAGTGCTCTACCGGTGAGCCACCACCCCAGCCCCTACTTGTAGTTTTAATCCACACCAATTCTCACTCTCTTATTAATTTTTTTTTTTTTTTGCTTCAAATTATTTGTTGAAGAAAGGGGACTGTGTTTTCTTGTAACATTTCATCAGGACGGGTTTGGGAGGCTTGGTCAAAGATAAAATTTACCTGGAAACATCTGTTGCTTAGAGCAGATGAACCCAAGGCTGGATGTGAGTAGGGACTGTCCAGCATCCAGGGCTGCACCTTAAATCCACATATCTCTCCTGTTCCTTTCCCCAGCACCCCAGCTTTGAAGCCTGTCATATCTCTGATTTTCATTTGCAACCGGGAGACCCGTACTGACCTGTATAGCCAGCCAAGGGCTCAAATACACATAATTTCTTAGAGCGTTTGACAAGGCAGTGACCAGGCCACCTTGACCCAGGATGAAACCTCCCCCCGGGACTCTGGGACCAAATGTCAAGAACTAGCTAGAATTGTGACTTGGCACCCACAGAGGCTTCTAGGGACTCACTGGAGAGGGAAACCTTCTAGCTCCCGTTGTTCAGAGACTAAAGCACTAAAGCTTTGAAAAGGCTGGACCCTTTCTTGAAGAGTCATAAGCAAAGGCTCTGAGAAATTCTGAGGTTAAAATAGGGCTTTAGCTTATTTATTTATTTATTTACTTATTTATTTAAAATATTTATTTTTTAGTTGTGGTTGGATCCAATAACTTTATTTATTTGTTTTTATGTGGTGCTGAGGATCGAACCCAGGGCCTCTCATGTGCTAGGCGAGTGCTCTACCGCTGAGCCACAACCCCAGGCTTTAGCTTTTTTAAACTCAATATGTTTTAATTTTTAATAGCTTCTCATATTTGTTCCAACATAAAAGTAGGTATATATTCTTGTGGCCTATAGTTCTCATGCAACAATAAAAGCTAGAAAGTTTACAAATTAGAACGAAAATATAAAACCAGTAAGTTTATATATACATAAAAGTAGGTATATATTCTTTTTTGCCTATAGCTCTCATGCAACAATAAAAGCTAGAATGTCTACAAATCAGGACAAAAATATAAAACCAGTAAGACGTGAATGAACCACCTTTAGTTTATTTACTCTAACAAGTGCTGCTGTTTTTCTCAAACAGAAAAAAAAACGCTTTGCATACAAGAAACGCATCACAAGTATTGGTTTACTAACAGAAAGCTGTTGTTTTGGGTCCCGTTCTGTTCTTAAACTGTTAGCGTTCTTACTTTAATAGTCATGTTGAGAAGGCTTGTTCTCATAAACAATCTTACTCAAACTGATATTGAGAAATTCAAGTCTTTTCTTCCTCTTTCAAGGCAATCAGAACAGAATATTAGTCAAACTTTATGCATGACAATCTTCAGATGCCAATTTTTTTTAAAAAAAATATTTATCTTTTAGTTGTAGGTGGACACAATATTTTTATTTTTATATGGTGCTGAGGATCGAACCCAGTGCCTCAAGCATGCTAGATGAGCGCTCTACCTCTGAGCCCCAACCCCAGCCCAGATGCCGATTTTAAAAAGGCAAGTACAGATAGATTGAGGAAATTCAAGATGGCCTTTACCAAATCTGCAACAGTGACTACTAAAAAAAAAAAAAAAAAAAATCCAATTAGTTTTAGATTTGGGACAGAAATATTTTTTTCCTGCTTATTTGCCATGGGGCTTGTTCCGAGTGGCTGTGTAGAGAGCCCCTGGACTTAATGAATCGGGCGGACACGGTTTGGATCTCTTCTGAGTAATGTAAATCATGGTCTGGCTTTGACTTTCTTTAACGCAGCATTTTTCAAACGTATTTGACCACAGAGGTCTTTCTTGGCACAGCACCTGTTAACTAGCCGAGTGTGCCAAGAAGCTCAGGCTGAGGGCTCTAAGAATCGTCCCTCTGGTTTCAGGGTGCAGGGGAGGACCTCTGGGCTCTATCTGGCCCTGATGCAGCCAAGGCGTGGGCCCAGCCCATGGGCCCAGCATGCGAGAGGAATTCTCCCTTCTTTTCTGTTCATCGGCAGAGCATCTTTCTCAAGCTCCGGTTCTGCCTGGTGGCTGTCACTCTCTGGGACGTTTTGCCTATCTTTGGGGATGAATGGTGGCTCTGGGATTTTACATAGGTCCAGGTGGCCATGGAGGAGGGGGACTTAGGGATAGTCTCCTCTGCTCCCTTGGGTGTCTGCCAAGGTCAAGCGGCACTAGATAGTCCAGTCCAGTGGCTTTAGTGGCTTCCAGGGCACGGATGGGTCTTGGAACCTCTCTAAGGCTGCCCTTGTCCCACGAACCTGTTGTGCACTCAGCCATTGCTTCATAGCGTGACCGGGGTGGGTGGCAGGTCCCTCCCTCTCATCTTCCCCACCCCAAACGGGGCGGGGGGGGGGGGGGGGGGGAATAAAAGGACTTTTAAAAAAAATTTTTTTTTTTTGCTGGATTCTTTGGTTTTAAATTTGCTTTTGAATAGATGGTATTAGTCATGGGATTTGAAACCTGGAAAGGAGAGGGGAAAAAAATAGAAAGTCTTTCCTCCCTCCTTCATCTGCCCAGTGCCTGCCTTCTCTGGGATAAACAGCTTCATTGACACGCACTTTACAGGCTATGAAGCTCACCTATTTAAAGCTTAAGATTCCATGTTTTATAGCATATTTACAGAGTTGTGCAACCATCACCGTAATCTAATTTTAGAATATTTCCATCATCCCGGGCTGGGGATGTGGCTCAAGCAGTAGCGCGCTCGCCTGGCATGCGTGCAGCCCGGGTTCGATCCTCAGCACCACGTACAAACAAGATGTTGTGTCTGCCGAGAACTAAAAAATAAATATTAAAAAAATTCTCTATTTCTCACTCTCTCTCTCTCTCTCTCTTAAAAAAAAAAAAAAAGAATATTTCCATCATCCCCAAAAGAAGCCTTGAGAGTTCAATCCCCACCCAAAAGCTAGGCTACCACTAATCTTTCTATCTCCATAGATTTTCCTATTTGGGACATTTATATCAATGGAATCACAGTATGTGGTGCATCATGACCTGCTATTTCTGCATGTTTTAAGAGATCATCCACAACACATATCAGTACTTCATTCGCGGCCCAATAATATTCTGTTTTGTGGACATAGCAGGTTTTTGTTTATCTGTTCTTCGGTTGATTGACAGGTTGTTCTACTCTCTGACTAGGATGAATAATGCTTCTGTGAACCTGGAGGTACATGTTTGGGGTTAACATGTTTTTATTTCTCTTAGATACCTAGAGGTGGAATTATTGGGGCTCCTATGATAATTCTGTGGTCAACATTTTGAGGAATTGCCAAACCACTTAAAAGGTGGTTGGGCCGTTTTATAATCCCATTCAACGCACAAAGATTCTGATCTCTCCACATCCTCACCAAATTGCCCATCTTTCTCATTACAGCCATGAGAGTGAGTGTAAAGTTCAGATTGGCATTTCTCCCTCACGATCATGATGCGGAGTATCTTTTCATGTTTGTTGGCCACTCATATATTTATTGGCAAAAAAAAAGTCTTTTCAACTATTTTGCCCAATTTAAAAAAAAATTGTTTTTTAAAGAGAGAGAGAATTTTTTTAAATATTTATTTATTTTTTATTAGTTGTTCAAAACATAACAAAGCTCTTGACATATCATATTTCATACATTAGATTCAAGTGGGTTATGAACTCCCATTTTTACCCCAAATACATATTGCAGAATCACATCGGTTACACATCCACATTTTTACATAATGCCATATTAGTAACTGTTGTTTTTTAGATTTCGGCGGACACAACATCTTTGTTTGTATGTGGTGCTGAGGATCGAACCCGGGCCGCACGCATGCCAGGCGAGCGCGCTACCGCTTGAGCCACATCCCCAGCCCTATTTTGCCCAATTTAAAGTTTGGTTGTCTTGTTAATTATTCCGTGACAAGTGTTCATTATACATTCTGAGTTTAAGTTTCTTATCAGATCCATGATTTGCAATGGTTTCTTTCCAGTATTTTATTCTATTCTTCTTCTTTTTCTGTGGGGCACTGCAGGGATGGGGGACTGTACTTGGGGGGTACTTTACCACGGTGCTACATCTCCAGTCTTATTTATTTATTTAGAAACAAGATCTTGCTGAGTTGCTGAGGCTGGCCACCCACGTGCATCGTCCTGTTCCGGCCTTCCAAGTCACTGGGATCACAGGTGTGCACCATAATCCTTTTACTTTCTCGATGGTTTCTTTTATTTTTATTTATTTTTTTATTATGGATGGTCTCTTTGGAACATAAAACTCTTGCATTTTCACGAAGCCCAATTGATCAGCCAGTTATCTCTTTTATTAAATGTATACATTTGGTGTCACTGTCTAACCCAAGGCGTGAATATTGATTCCCTGTGCCTTCTAAGAGTTTTTCTTTGTAGACTTAACTCTTCCGTTTAGGTCTAGGATCCAGTTTGAAATAACGGTGTGAGGCAGGGGTTTCATTTCATCCTTCTATATGTAAATTCCAGGGGTCTCAGCACTCTTTGTTGAAAAGACTCTTCCCTATGCCGTTGGATTGCCTTGGTGCCCTTGTTGAAAATTAATTGGCCACAAATGTTAGGCTTTAATTTCGAACTCATAATTGTATTCTATTGAGCGATGGCTATGTTTAGGCCAGTACTCTATGGGTCTTAATTACTGTTGCTTTGTAGTAAGTTTAAGTAGGAAAGTGTAAGTCCTCCAACTTTGGAATCTTTCAGGATTGCTTTGGATCTTTTGGTCTCTTGCATTTCCACATGAATTTTAGGATCAGCTTGTCAAACTCTGCAGAAAAATTTCAGCTGGGATTTTGAAGGGAATGGCATTGAATCTGTAGAACAGTTTGGTGACTGTCTGCACAATATGAAGTCTTCCAATCCATGAACATGGGATGTCTTTCCACTTATTTAAACTTTCTTTAATTTCTTCCAAAAAAAAATGTGTTATAGTTTTCAGTGTACAAATCTTGCACATCTTTTAAAAATTCTTTAAGATGTTTTATTTAAAATGTGATATTGTCTTTATTTTCTTATTATGATTTAATGCAAATACCAACACAAATATAAATTTAGAACTTTCTACCTTTTGAGGGAAAATAAAAGGAACCTATCTTGTTGTTTTGGTTTTCTTTTTCTTTTTTTTTTTCCGCTACTGAATATACTTTGGAGTTCTTTCCATAGCAATATAAATAAAGATCTTCTTCATTTTACTTTTTTTTAATACCTTTATTTTATTTATTTTTATGTGGTGCTGAGGATCGAACTCAGGGCCTCACACTTGCTAGGCAAGTGCTCTACCGCTGAGCCACAACCCCAGCCCCTTCTTCGTTACTTTTTAAAATATAACTGCATAATAGCCCAGTGTATACGTAATGTAACTTACTCTGTCAGTTCCCAACGCATGGACATTTAGGTTACTTTCAATCCTCAGTAATTACAAACATGGCTGCAGTGAATTCATCGTTTTTTCTCTGTAAGATAAAACTGGAGTTTAATCACCGAGTTATCGATAATTTTGATAAATCTAACCCAATTGTGCTCCATGATGATCATACTTATTTACTTTCCTTCCATAATGAATGAGAATGTGTTCATTCAAGGGTTTGCCAATAGAAGTGCTATTTCTTTTTTATATATATATATTTTAAAAACTCGATTAGAGGGAAGATGGATCAGTGTGGTTGAATGAAATCATGCATCTTTGGGTTGTGTTGACCTGTCTGTGAACTGTCCATTCATGACCTTTGCCCATTTTTCTATTGACTGGTCTTTCTTTTTCTGTTTGCCTTTCAAATGTGAGTTGCAAATGTCTTGCTCCCATTTCTCCTATGTCTGTACTTTTTGGTAAGGTGCTCGTCGCCGTAGAGAAGTTCTTTTGTCATTGTTTACCATTTGCTTCTTTTGTGTGTGTTCTATTTTTATCCATCTCTTATGGATTTTGGATTTACCCTCCAAGGTTGTAAAGAAATCAATATGACGTATATTAAATGTAACTTCTTATATTTTTGTTCTTTTAATCTTCAACTGGGTCTTGTTGTGGTTTGCTTTGCTTTGTTTTTTTATTTTTTATTTTTTTAAATCGAAGGGAAACTTCCTGTGCTTGTTTCTGACCCTTTGTGCCAAGAATCTTCTCTCCGAAGTGTGGAAGCCAAAAGCTAGGGTCTCTGCTTCTCCTTTTTCCACTAGAACACCTGGCCCCTGAGTCCTACTGGGATGGAGGAAATACAGGCAGGAAAGGGGATTGTTGAAAACAGCTCAGATATTACCCCTGCCCAGTGTTTGTTGTGACTCCACAATTTTTTACCGAGAACAACTGTGTACAAAGGGTTCCGTCATCAATGAGCATTTATTGACCACCTCTTGTGTGCGCCTAGTATTATGAAAGGCACTGGATTCAGAGCTGAAGGAGACAGTAGGAGTTACAACATTACCGTCATTGATATTGCAATTATTCTGTTACCACAGATGACCATGGTCAACCTATTGCATTCTATACCATTGGTGCCAGAAGAGTAGCTACCAATATTAACAGCCACGTCTTAAGCCAGTGACGTATGATCGTGCACATACCCTTAAGGAAAGCCTGTAATCCCGTTTTACAGGTCCGAAAAACTGAGGTTTTCCACTGGGACATGCATTCCGTCGCAGAACTGTGGTGAATCAATTTTCTTTCTTTTTAAACTTAATGAATGAATGAATTTTTAAATTTATTCTTGGGGTCCTGGGGGCTGAACTCGGGGGTACTAAACTACCTCCCTAGTGCTTTTTATTTTTTTTTATATTGAGACAGGGTCTTGATATGTCGCCCAGGCTGCCCTCAAATTTCAATCCCCCTGCCTCATCCTCCTGCGTCAGTGGGATCGCAGGCGCACACCACCACGTCCACAGCAAATCAGTTTTCAAACCGAGCATCCCAGCACATAGAAAGGCTCATCCCCTTTTTATTAACAGAAAACTGAGAAGTGACTTGCTTAGTTCTCCCAGAACCTGTTTAAGTTATGACTTTAGAGCCAGCAAGGGGCAGTGGCTCTCGACCCTGAGAATCACCGACAGGTAGTATCTGGGGGGTGGGCTGCCGGGGGGTGTGGGGTAGGGTGGGGGTCCTACAGCTATCCTCATTATTTCAGAAGGGGCTGGTGAGGAATCAGATACAACTAACAGAAATCAAAAACCATTTTCCTTCACATAATGCTCACAATGACCCCATGATGTAAGCTATCACATCCTCATTGTACCAATCAGGTCACTGGGTCATTGCCATTGGTTCTCATGTTTGTGAAAATATTACTGTTATCCACAGCTGAGCCACACATGTGCTGTGATTATCTGTATTTTGTTGTTGGCCTCTTTGGTTTCCCTGGAGTTGATGATGCCTAGGTTTTCGGTGTGTATACAAGTCATTTATCTCAGGTCTGTAACAGATCTGGCTTGTCAACTGGTTAAACATACTCACTCATCTATCATTTCTGTGTTTTGTTGATAATGTTTCTCTTTCCTCTTCCCTTAGCTGGGATAGGTGACGCTTCAGACTCATAAGTAGCTGTCAATCTGGGAAATTCCTTTCTCACCTTGTTGAGAATTTCCATCTTCACCTGTCTGCTGACAGGGACCCCAGTTTTCTCCCCTGCCCCATTGTTTCCTGACTCCCTCTATTTAACAGAGCATGCGTCCCAGTATTACCAGGTCTTGCATGGCTCATAGTGTTTACTGGTGTCTCTTCTACCCTACGTTTGATTGGTGCCTCTCCCTCTCCTTTCTTCCTCCTCCTTCTCCTCTCTCTCACCTCCCTGGCTACCAGGAGGTGAACATTACGTTCTATTGAAAATAATCTTCTGTTATGAACTCTACATTTTTCTTCCTTCCTCTTTTGCTTTTTTTTTTTGGTGTGACAAGACATGGCCCCAGTAACCTAATTCCTCCAGCCACACCCTACCCTCCTACATTTCCACCACCCTCCAGCGGTCCATTCAGCTGTCAGTGGATTAATCCACTGAGGAGGTCAGAGCCCTTATGACCCAATCACTTCCCCAAAAGCCCTACCTCTGAAAATGGCTGATTGGGGACCAAGCCTTCAACACTGAGCCTGTGCCCCCACAGGCTTTCCAAATCCAAACTAATAACATGTTTATGTTTCTATCCCTGATTTCAGACCTCTTGAATATTCACCTGGTGGTAGACTTGCTGGATCCTATGGTAGATCTGTGTTTGACTTTTTGATGAATAGACGTGAGAGGGTGCTGAGCGCGGCCATCTTGGGCAGTGACTGCGTGGTCACCCATTCTCAGGGGTGAGGCACAGAGGGTTCAGATCTCTCCACACCTCCGACATTTGTTATTTTCGGTTTCTTTTCCCAATAGTCATCTCGATAGCGAGCGATATCGTATTGTGGTTATGATTTGCATTTCTCCAGTGACTAATGATGCTGGGCTTCATTTCACCGTGATCAGCAGCCATTTGGGTATCTTATTTGGAGAACCATGGATTCAAGTCTTTGGCCCACTTTTGACTTGAGTTGTTTGGATTTTAGGAGTTTCTTACATAGTCTGAATGTCAACCCTTGTCAGATACACACTTTGGAAATATTTACTCCTATTCTGGGACTTGTCTTTTTATCCACTCGATGGTAAACCTTTGAGGCACAAAAGTCTTTAATTTTGGTCAAGTCCAATTTATTTATTTTTTTAAATTTTCTTACCAGTGTGCCCTTGCCAAAATTCAATGAATGACGATTCCCCTCTTTGTTGTTCTCTAAGACTTTATAATTTGGGCTCTTAGCATTTGATAAATTCTGAGTTGATTCTTGTACTATGGAATTAGGTAACAGTATAATTTCATTCTTTTGCACGTGGATTTGGTGGATTTAGTTTTGTAGTAAGTTTCAGGAAGAAATCAGGAAGTATGTCTTCCATCTTTGTTCTTAAGATCCTTTTGACTTTTCAAAGTCTCTTGTAATTCTATTTGAGTTTTTAGGATCCGTTTTTCTATTTCTGTAAAAAAAAAAAAAGTCATTGAGATTTGGTTGGAAATTGTATTGAGTTTGTAGACGGCTTTGTTTAGTATTAACTTTTAACATCATTGAATCCTCCAGCCCAAGAACATGGCTCTCTTTTATGGAGGTATTTTTAGTTTCTTCCAGAAATATTTTGTAGTTTTTCAGATCTCTTGTATATTGTGTATTTTCG